CCCACCCCCGGGACCGGAACGGGAGCGGGTGGGGGCGCAGGCCCCGGGGATGCTGGGCTCGGTGAAGATGGAGGCCCACGACCTGGCCGAGTGGAGCTACTACCCCGAGGCGGGCGAGGTGTGTCCTCGGTGGGGTGACGGCGTGGGAAGTGGGGGGGTCGGCGCCGGGGCGGGCGAGGGAGTGGGTTTAATGCGGGCCCCGGTGGGGAATGGGGTGTCTCGTGGCGGGCCCCTGAGAACTGGGGACACGAAGACCAGGTGTGCTCGTCAGGAACGAGGGGACACGACGTGGCCGCGCCGCTTGGGCAGGCGAGCCCGGTGAGGGCTCCAGGAAACGCAGGCAAGAAGGCCAGATCGGAGCGTGACCGCGGAGGCCAGGTGTCAGCGACGCGGAATCCCCGAAATCCCCGGGGTTGAAAGGAGCAAGCCAGAGATAAGAATCGGATCCCGAGCTCCGGGGGACCCGGACAGGGCTGGGGAGGTTAGGAGATACCATTCAAAGCTAGGGGAAAGATAAAGAGCCGGAGGTAGGGAGAACCCGGGAGAGAGAAGGCTGCCTGGTGGCTCAGTGGTTAAGCAAGGGCCACCTGGGAGAAGAGTCCTGACCATCTGCTCCCCGAAAGGTTACAGCCTGTGGACAATCCTCCCTTGTTCCCGTAGGATGACTCTGAGTCAGAACGGATTAGGCAGCTATGGGTTTGGGAGGTGGGGGCTCAGGTTAGAACGTGGTTCTCAAATCGGGGCCTCCGGAGTAGAGCTAGGATATTGGGGTTCAGGGATGAGGATCAAGGTGATGGTCTAAGAGAGGCTCAGGAACAGGGGTGGACGCTCCGCTCGGGAGTATGCGGAGAGATGAGGCTTCTTTGGGGGCATCTAGCATGACGGGGCAGGTTAGAGTTGGGGCTCAGATGGGGTCAGTGTTAGGGGGTCTGAGAGCAGATGTGGGCGTCAGCGTGGGAAGGGGAGTAGTAGAAGGGTGTTTGTTGGCCTGTGTGCCCAGCATCCCTCCCCAGGACGCTGAACCCCTTGGTTTAAATGCTATTAGGGGAGGCTGTGTGTTCAAACAAAGATTGGCAACCTTGGAAAACCCACCCGGGCAGCTCCACTCTGTCCTGTGGGGTTGGTGGGCGTAGGTATCCATTAGATGATGTGTGTTTGGGGGAGAGAGCTCCTCCCTGGCATTCCCCTTTGGGGAACTGGGGGTGGGTTTCTGATAGCCCCCAACCCCCATTGCTCTCCAGCAATTGCTAATGTCCTCATCCAGTCAAAACCTCCCTGGATTTGGCCACAGGGGGGTGGGGGGTAGTAGCTGATCCTAATCCCCTCTGGCCAGCGGACCGGAAGTCCTTCTCCAAGTCTGACTCCCATTCCTCTTGCTGCAAAGATTTCAGACTCCTTCCTTCATTCACTCTGTAGTCTACTGTGTAAGGTGCCCCCCCCCCCATGGACAGTTTCAGGAATTTGGAAGGTTGAATTTCTAAGGGGACTAGGGGCTTGAGGGAGTGCTGTGAGGCAGAATGGCTGTGTTCTCCAGGCCACAGGGGTGGATGTGGGGGGACCCTGAGATCTGGGGGTTCTGGAAACCCCAGCAGGCTTGAGTCCTGGGTTGGACGCAATAGGGTAGATCTCCTGGCTCCCCAGGCCTGCAGGGCTTGGCAGGGTGCCCGGGAGGGGCCAGCCCTGGGGCCCATGGAGGTGTTGGGAATATGAAGGGGCGGAGGCGCGCCTGGTAGACCGCTGCATGTGTCCCTGGTGAGATGGGCAAGGTGGAGACCTGGGGTGGGGGTGGGGAGTGGGCAAGGCGTTTAAAAGGAAAAAGCAACCTGCCCAAGTCCACTGCCGCGAGACCGTTGCAGTCGCCAGTGACCCGGAGGGAGAAAGTTTGAGTGCCCCCTAGGGTGTCCTAGGCTGTCAGCCTCTCCAGCAGTGGAGGACTGCTTCATCTTTCTCCCATGGGTGGGCTTGGTGGAGTCCAGCCTCTCCCCTTTCAGCGACCTGCTGAGTGCTTCACCCATGCCGCCACCACCCACTTTGGGTTGCATGTCATAAGGAGTACGGTGTATTGGGCAGGGGTGGGGGGCATCTATACTGGAGGAGTTAAGATTTGGGATGCAATCTGGATGTCTCCAAAGGGGGGGGGGGCACAATGTGTGTGGACAGACTAGCGACATCAGGAACTGAGGGACAGACCAGAGGTGATCAACACTTGGGCACTGTTTGCAGGTGGGTGGGTGGGGGCGGTAGGGGTCTGTCCTTCAGAAGATGGGGAACTGGAGATGATTTGGAGAACACTGAGAGGTCGCCCCCAGCACCCCTATCAGATGAACCCATCTCCTTCCCTCTGGGCTAGAGCATTTTGCAGATGTCGGGAGCAGCAGTCGG